GTGAGTGAGTGAGTGAGTGAGTGAGTGAGTGAGAGAGAGAGAGAGAGGCCATCACTACAATGTGGGCTTCACAGGGGTATATATCAAAGCTCAAGAACAGCGCTTTGTTTAAGAGTTGACAGGTCAAGGGGACAATATAAACTGTCGAACTATGTCTTGTCTATGTTAAACCACTGGAACATCTGGAACTGGTTCCAGCTGAGGTCCAACCAGAAGCTGTCGGTGATGGCGATCCGCTTGGGCTTTGTCATCTCCTGCAAAGCCTTCGCGGCAGGACCCTCCGGCAGCACGCTTTCCTGAAACAAGTCATGGCCAGGACAATCTTCCCTGCTTTTAAAGGCTTGAAATTTCTGTCGAGGCAGCTTCTGGACAAATGCAAGTGGCAAAGTCTTCCACTTCTCATCTCTCAGACTTAGAAGCATGAATACACCAGTAAATGTCCTGTCTAGTTTCGGCACTCATTGCCCGGTACGACGTAGATTTTATCATTGTTGCTTGTTTGCATTACATGTAAAGTGTCTGACGAACTGTCACTAAACTAAATAAGTACCCTGGATCGGAGGGGTTTAGATCGGAAACAAATCTCTAACCATCAGTAAGATGATAAACACGAACAAAACCGAAGAAAAATGATATAATATGAAAAAAACATGGAAAACATGGAAAAAGCGAAGAAAATTGTTTTTTATCGTCTGAAACCATATGCACATGGCCATCGTCATAATCCACCAAACGTGTTATTTCTGGTGATTTTTGAGTTCATTAATCACATCTTTATACTTTTCGGTGTTGTGTGCATTTCTGGTAGGTACGTAACCTTAATAAATAATCTAAAATGTCTCTGTTTATACTTCCATCTTTTCCACCCGTTCCTGATATATAAATAAAGTGTCTTGCCTGTCTTATATAATCCCGATGGGTTTCTGTATGCATTTGTCAATCCGTGCCTGTCTTCTGTTGCTTTTGTGTTGGCTATGTTCCTTTCTTCTTTATACAGTGTTGTATTTTGTCTGAATTGCTCATTAAGATTTCTTGCAAAGTTGTTCATCTTCTCATCTAAGTCTCTTTGTTTCTTGTCCGTGTCGTTCATCAACTCTTCTTTTCCTTGACGCATTAATTCTTCAAATGCTACTCTACCTATTCTTTTTGCGAATATATAATCTCATCTCTTCTCTTGTTAATACATGTTCTATTGCTTCACCTCCCATAATTCTCTGAACAACCTCTCTCCCAAACTGCCTTCCCACCTGTCTCAATGCATTAGTCATTGCTATTCTTCCAACTCCTGCTACAACTCCAATCATTTATTTTTATATTAATTTTTGATAAAAATCATTTCTAATAATAGATCTAATCATGAGTCATGAGTAATAGATAAACATATAAAACTATGTTTGTAGATAGTAAGTATCGCAATGCTCAATCAAAATCTTCGCCTGACTTTTCAGTGGAGTTAAACGAAAACTCAGAAACACCAGAGGAAACAAAACTCTATGTAACTGATATTTCTATTCCAGCGGTGTGGAAATCTACAGAGGTGGGTTTCTATGAATATATTAATATATTTATGTTGTGGTCTTCAATGGCGATACATTAGTCAAAATATTAGGGTATATTTAGGTAATATTATGGTAAACTGTGATTAAAACATGAAACAATCACAAGAAAGAAATCAAAATGAAAATAACAAATCTCAAAAAATTTCAAAAAATCTCAAAAAATCTCAAAAAATCTCAAAGCAATACTTTAAAAATAGTAAAAAAATCTCAAAAAATCTCAAAAAATCTCAAAAAATCTCAAAAAATCTCAAAAAAGCTCAGAAAAGCTCAAATAAGCTCAAAAAATCTCAAAAAATCTCAAAAAATCTCAAACTTGATGATAGCATGAAAAAATAAAGCTTAAAAAAAAAAAAAATGTTTTTTTTGTGTTTTTTTTTATGTTTTTTTGCTTATAGATTGCATATGTTTGTTGAAGTCATTGCCGCAGTCATTTGTCTTTCAGGGTTTCGGTCTCATTTCCCCCGGTAATCGCCTTTGGCATCATTTGATTTTTTGAGATTTTTTGAGATTTTTCATTTTCATGTTGATTTCTTTCTTGTGATTGTTTCATGTTTTAATCACAGTTTACCATAATATTACCTAAATATACCCTAATATTTTGACTAATGTATCGCCATTGAAGACCACAACATAAATATATTAATATATTCATAGAAACCCACCTCTGTAGATTTCCACACCGCTGGAATAGAAATATCAGTTACATAGAGTTTTGTTTCCTCTGGTGTTTCTGAGTTTTCGTTTAACTCCACTGAAAAGTCAGGCGAAGATTTTGATTGAGCATTGCGATACTTACTATCTACAAACATAGTTTTATATGTTTATCTATTACTCATGACTCATGATTAGATCTATTATTAGAAATGATTTTTATCAAACATTAATATAAAAATAAATGATTGGAGTTGTAGCAGGAGTTGGAAGAATAGCAATGACTAATGCATTGAGACAGGTGGGAAGGCAGTTTGGGAGAGAGGTTGTTCAGAGAATTATGGGAGGTGAAGCAATAGAACATGTATTAACAAGAGAAGAGATGAGATTATATATTCGCAAAAAGAATAGGTAGAGTAGCATTTGAAGAATTAATGCGTCAAGGAAAAGAAGAGTTGATGAACGACACGGACAAGAAACAAAGAGACTTAGATGAGAAGATGAACAACTTTGCAAGAAATCTTAATGAGCAATTCAGACAAAATACAACACTGTATAAAGAAGAAAGGAACATAGCCAACACAAAAGCAACAGAAGACAGACACGGATTGACAAATGCATACAGAAGCCCATCGGGATTATATAAGACAGGCAAGACGCTTTATTTATATATCAGGAACGGGTGGAAAAGATGGAAGTATAAACAGAGACATTTTAGATTATTTATTAAGGTTACCTACCAGCAATGCACACAACACCGAAAATATAAAGATGTGATTAATGAACTCAAAAAAATCACCAGAAATAACACGTTTGGTATCACATGTCCCTCAGATAATATATAATCCACCAATTTACCTGTATCCCAACCAAATAAAAAATGATATAAAATGATATAAAAATTAAAAAAATGATAAAAACATGCGTTTTAATGGGATAACATGCTTAAATATGTGAAAAAGTGCTTTTTAATGCGTTTTTAAGTTATTTTGAGTTTATTTATGCGCATGGGGGTTCACAAAGTCTTCTGATCTAAACCCAGCTGATCTAGGGTACTTATTTATTTTGGTGAGAACTGAATGCATTCCATCGGTCCCAACTTGCTGAGGAACAAACTGAACTCCCCATGGCAAATCATGCGGTCCGCCGCGGCGTATCGCCGCAGACTAAAGTCACACTTGTTTGCTCACGCTTTTGCTGCGGGATGAGTTCGGATTCATGTTCCGGAGGCAAAGGTCAACCTCCTTGCACACTGATACCGACTGCAACACATTTGTAAGTTTTGAAGCTTGCACCTGCACTGAGAGCATATCGCACTACTCAAGTTTGAAGCTAAAAGCAGTATTTGCAAGCACAGTAGGTTTGACCAAAGACAGCTGAGGATCTTCAAACAACTGCGCCAGCAACAATGGATGTGGCAGTCAGGATCTCAAAAACAAAGTTGTTTCCCTGTCAGCAACTTCCAATCTTCCTGGTGTTGCCTCAAGGCTTCCGATGGAGACATGGTCTTCCAGGATGTGACCGTGGATCGTATCCCCATCCGCGAAGGTCAAACTGCGCAGGTGGCTGCAGTAGAAAAAACATGAGGCCAAAGGGAAGGGGACGAAAACTAGTTGGGCAAGGAGAGATGCGTATTGACACAATATGTGGCGCGACCTTTTTTACTGTCATTTGTTTTAACTGAAATAAGCTACCAGAATCATTCCACAACCCTCCCCCTGACATCCTAGCATACCAGCGTCAACATTACGTTCCTACTATTCTACTTGCCAAATACAAAGTGCCCCAACCGAACGCGCTTCGGTTGAGCCACTTTGCAACCATCTGATTGAACCTTTTTCCCTCGGCCTTCCTTTTTTGCTCCTTTCCGTGACATACTGTATACTTGAGGCAAAAGGAAAGGGGACGAAAGCTAGTTGGGCAAGGAGAGATGTGTATGCAGAGAATATGTGGCGCGACCTTTTTTGTTTCATTTTGTGAACTCTTACCTTACATTTGGAAAAACCCGCGCCAAAACCGTGCTCCACTACATCAAAAACAACTTTTAGAACATTGTAACTTAGGTACATACATCCATAGAGCAAGAAATACTTGGGAATCTTAAGATACGCGCCTCCATTCCTCGCCAAGACTGGCCATGTTTTGCGCAAACGTCTAGAGAAAGCGGAGTGCAAGAATCCAAGCGGTTTTTCTCTCATTACATAATATTATATTATATTACACTGCAGTACATTGCGGTAGATACATTACATTACATTAGATTGGATTACATTGCATTAGGCAAGATTTTACACTGCATTGCATTACATTAAAGTACATTCACAACACCCAAGGCGAATATTATTCTATACATGCGTGCATGCATGCATGCATGCATACATACATACATACATATATATATATGGGTGTGTGTGTGTGTTTGCGTGGGCATGCAAATGCCTTGTCCAAGATGAAACCCAGCAGGATGGACGTAGCGGGGTTTGAGCCCACCGGGGGGAAGGGAGGAAAAGAAGAGCGAGTTGCTGAGATGCAATTCTCGTGGTTTGCGACGGGTCTTATTGCACCTTTCCAAAACATTCCAAACCAGCAAACAACAGCCTGTATGCTAGCTGCAACCTGCGGAATGGACTCTGCAGGGCTGAGCGTCAACTTTAAATTTAAATAAGCTACCCTTCGATGTTGCTGACACTCTAACAGCAGCGTACTATGATATTCTAGCTCGCATCACCTTAATCATTCCACAACCCTCCCCCTGACATCTTAGCATACCAGCGACAAAATGACGCTCCTAGCATTCTACTTACCAAATACAAAGCGCCCCAGCGGAACGCGCTTCGGTTGAGCCACTTTGCAACCATGTGACTGAATCATTTTTTTCCTTTTTGTTTCCTTGCTGATTCCGCGACATATTGCGTGTATATATATATATATAACTTATATCTATATTTAGAGGTAGATTTATATTTATACTTCTTGAATTATTCATCTATCTTTCTATGTGATTTCATTTTTGGTTTATTCATCTATCTGTTTATTTATTTATGTTTTTTGTCTGTGTATATATATATAGATATGGATGTGTGCGTGTCTTTGGGCCCCCCTGTTGGACATGATTAATCATGTCGAACTGTGTCCCCCACCCCGCAGCGTCCATCCCGCTGGGGTTTCATTTGCGACCAGGCAGTCGCATGCCCACGCACACACATATACTATGGTATTCACCGTGAGTGTTTTGAACGTAATGCAATGTAGTGCAATGTAATGTAATGTAGTACAATCTCATGTAACCTAATGTAATGGAATCTAACCTAATGCAGTCTAATCTAACTGAGTGTAACGTAACTTAATGCAGTGTAAAAGTAACCTAATCTAATCTAACGGAATGTAATGTGATGAGAGAACAGTCGCTTGGAGTCTTGCACTCCTTTTCCTCAAGAGGTCTGCATGAAAACATGACCCAGTCTTGGCGAGGAATGGGGGTGCGCATCTCAAGATTCCCAAGAACCAGTTCGACGTGAAAGGTCATGGAAGCTACATCCAGTCTGCCCCACCTCATTGCTAAAGCAGAACCAACTCCAGCTAGCAAGCTATGTTTCGTGATGAGTCCATTGACTTGACAGTTTGTATCAACAAGTCTAGTAGAGCTACGCTAAGCATTTGATGTGTTGTGATTGTACTTTCTACGCTAAGCATTTGATGTGTTGTGATTGTACTTAGTGACAAACACCTCTGCATTTTGGTGCAGGCTATTGAGCTCTTGTTTTCCAATTCACAATTCCCACCAATCATCGATTAGGCGCTGCTCCTTTGGCTGAGCACCCAGGGCATTCCCTTGGATACACTTCGTGGGCTGCTGGATGTTGTGGTGCTGAAAGAATTTTGCAGCACTGCTAGTGGTGGCAAGTAGAGCACTGTTAAGGCACCATCAAGCGGCAACTCCTCGCAGATTCGCAGGCATGAGTTTACTGCCAGAATGATAACCAAACATACATCAATATGCGTTGACTCTGCATTTCGTCCGTTTAGTTGCGTTTAGTAGTACAATGCTTGCATCTGGACCCAAGGTCAAAGGGCTTAGACGCCGCTTAGAAGGCACATGCTTCTTGGCATGGTACACCCGAAGGTCCTGCGGGTAGTGAGCCTTGCATCACGATTTGGCATCCACCACCTTTTCTTGACAAAGATCATCAGTTTCTTGCTGTCTCCGCGGCTGTGGCCTGTGCGCATGGACAAACACAAAACAAAATCCGCCCGCACCAAAGGTGCCGAGGTGTGGTAGTTTAGCAGCGAATGATACGAATGGACCGATCTGTCGCACGGGGCTGTGGTAATTTGCGCATTTTGCATATCGGCCCATCATCGGCCACATGCACCGTTTCGATCCGACATGGCCGCAACATCAGCTCCACGTGTCTCCGTTGGGCCCAACTTGGTGCGAAGCTGTCGCCAAAGGGCCCCAAGTTGCGGGAAGTTAGAACTGAGTTGGACTCGGCCCAACATCAGCCCAACACGACGAAATGGCGCCAACTTAGGCTCCAGCTGCGTCCAAGATAGCGCAACTTGCGCCCAAGTTGGGCCAAGTTGTCAGCCTGGGCCCAAGTGGGCCCAACCCAGGCAAATTTTGCGGACTCAGTCTGACACGCTGAAAACTGGCGTCTTTACCGCTATGTTCAATGTTTTTTAGCTTTGATGAGGGTTCACTCAAGGCCATGTCCAACTTCGGCGCCAGCTGCCCCCACATGCATGCTAAGCTCAACTTGCACCCACACGTGCCCAAGCTGCGCCATGTTGGACCCCAGTTGGGCTCAAGTTGCCCAAGTTGGAGCTAACTGGCCCGAGTTCGGCGCAAGCTACGCCCAAGTTCCAGTCTGCTTTTGGTTGGGCCGAAGTAGGCCGGCTTTTCGTCGTGAAGCGACTCAAAGAGGGTATAACATGTGCAAATGTGCATATATATGTAATTATATATACATGATATATATATATACACATATATAAATATATATATATACACATATAATAATGGTTAAAAAAAACTAGTTTTTATGTCAATGGAGTCTCTTGTTCCTAAGTCATCTGCCAGTCGTATTTTTATTAAATATATATATATATATATATGTTTCCCCAAACTCTCAACAGGTGAAACCCTGATAACTTAGGACTGCACGTTCTCAGTCTTGGCCATGTCTCAGTCTCGGCCAATTAAATGGTTAAAAAAAATCTAGTTTTTATGTCAATGGAGTCTCTTGTTCCTAAGTCATCTGCCAGTCGTATTTTTATTAATATATATATATATATTTGTTTCCCCAAACTCTCAACAGGTGAAACCCTGATAACTTAGGACTGCACGTTCTCAGTCTTGGCCATTTCTCAGTCTCGGCCAATTAAATGGTTAAAAAAAGTCTAGTTTTTATGTCAATGGAGTCTCTTGTTCCTAAGTCATCTGCCAGTAGTATTTTTATTAAATAAATATATATTATATATATATATTTGTTTCCCCAAACTCTCAACAGGTGAAACCCTGATAACTTAGGACTGCACGTTCTCAGTCTTGGCCATTTCTCAGTCTCGGCCAATTAAATGGTTTAAAAAAAACTAGTTTTTATGTCAATGGAGTCTCTTGTTCCTAAGTCATCTGCCAGTAGTATTTTTGTCTGAGCCGGGAACGGCAGGCTGGAGGACTTCGACCCAACAACGGGGTAACACAACGGGGAAGGAACCACAACGGGCCAGAACAAGAACAAACAACGGGAGGGAAACAACGGGAAAATGAGAAATGTCACATTTATATTTTTTGTTTGAAAGAATAAAAATATTCATTCCATTATGTTTTTTATCTGAAAAATATTCTCACATTCTGGTTTATTTTACAACATTTTCTAAATTTGTTTCAATTGCAAAAGTGTGTAATAATGCTTTAAAACAATCGAGTGAAAAAAAAAAACCAAATAAACATGCCAGCGTGTCCTGCAGTGCAGGAGCCAATCAGCCAATCACTTCTTTCAAGCAAAATAGCTGCAGTTATCATGACTTAGGAACTGCCCACTATTTCCTAATGCCTTATATCCTTGCAAAACTTGTTTAAAAATAACATGTTTTCTATGGTTTGTTGTGATGACATAGGAGTAAGGGACCCAGACCACCAAGGGTATGTTTGCTCATGACATAGGAGTATGATTTTCGAGGGTATGTCCGCATCTGACTAAGTCATTTGCGGGTAGTATATACATATAATATATATACATAAAATATATATTCATATATTTATAATATCCCTTTTGGCGCCAGGATCACTTAGAACCACAAGATTGGGATCACTTAGAACCACCGGATCACTTAGAACCAAAAAGCATCACTTAGAACCACCAAATTAGGATCACCAGAACCACCAGTCCAGATGTTGATGGCTGAGGCTGCTATAACCAGCATGGTGGAATCAGACCTTTAGGGTAACACTTGGGGACACGGGGCTGGACACGGGGCTGGGACATGGGGTGGGTTTAGGGGACCAGCATGGTGGAATGAGACCTTTAGGGTAACACTTGGGGACATGGGGTGGGTTTAGGGGACCGGCATGGTGGAATGAGACCTTTAGGGTAACACTTGGGGACATGGGGCTGGGACATGGGGAGGGTTTAGGGGACAAGCGGGGACACGGGGCTGGGACATGGGGTGGGTTTAGGGGACAAGCAAAGACACGGGACATGACGAGGATGATGATGATGATGATGATGATGATCATGATGGTCATGATGATGATCATGATGATGATGATGATGCTGATGATGATGCTGATGATGATGCTGATGATGATGCTGATGATGATGCTGATGATGATGCTGATGATGGTGATGATGATGATGATGATGATGATGATGATCGTGATTGCAAGGTGGTTCTAAGCGATGCCAATTGCGCGGTTCTAAGCGATCCAAATCCCGTGGTTCCAAGCGATCCCGCGACCGGTAGTATATTTTCATCATTATCGTTGTCATTATTTCCAACAGCCGGAAGCTGTTGGGTCTAATCCCTAGAAGCCAGACTTCCTTTGGGGTAAAACAGCAGGACGGGAATGACAGTTTCATGCATGACTCAGGACAAATGATCCTTCTTGGGATCAAAGCCTCTACCGCATTCCAAACCTCGACATCTTGAATCATCAGGTAGCTGAGCACCTCACCTGGTTCTGAAAGCTTTTTGCAGGCACGGGTACAAATGCCAGTCTTCCAACTAGCAGCCTCAACCTTGAGCCTGAGGTTCGAATCGCAGAGCTCGATATGTTCACCAGTATCCTTTGCGAGCACAGCAAACACACATCACAAGCTTCGTAAGCTTACCAAATTACCAAGGCAAAGTGATGAAAATAACTCAAGAAAGCTTTCCTTGCTAAGGAAAGGTTCACAAGCTCATACCATGTGGCAGCACTCAAAACTCCGTCAAACTGAAAGAAGCCCCCATGGCATGCAATACTTCCAGGCCACCCCCCAGCCAGTTCCACCAAGGAAGAGCAATTTGCTGCAAAACTTAGAATCTGCTGAGTCGAGGACTCGGACTCTTCTTGGATGAGCAACGAATGGTACGGAAAGTCTTCAGATTTGCTGTACGAACTTGTGCTACTCGTGGTGTTACTTGTTCGAAACCCTATCCACAAGTACGTCTCTTGTCCAGCTGGAGGTGCAAGAAGTTCAACTGCCACATTGGACAGATATGCTGCCCGAGATATCTGTAGTGAATACACTACGATGAATAAACGGATGCAGGTCCATTGCATCTTGCATCTTGAAGACTTCGGGCACCACACTCGCGTAGCTCAACAGCGCCATGCAGCACCATGGCACGAAGATCGAACATGATCAGGTTCTCTTTTGGTATTATGTCAGAAAGGAACACTGACTGAACACTATCAACCCTTGCTTCTCTATAGTATTGGAAGCATCGACCTCCAGTTTTGCGACAAATCAAATAGACCGGACGCTTGGTACTCCTGTCTAAAATCCTGCTAAACCTTTGGGATGGAAAATGGCCTCAAATCACGGGCTGAGGCATAAATAGTTGGACCAAACAAACTACCAGCAATCATGAATGTTTGAGAGATCTGTAATCATTCTTTTCAATCTTTCTGGAACCATTTAATGCAACCTGCCTCACTCAACTGAAAACATATTTGGACACAAACGGCAGAGAGGGTGTGTCCTCTTCTCAGCACCCATAGTCGATGAAGACGACTGTGAGGTATGAAATCCAGAGGAGTTTCCTGCAAATCAGAATGAAGAAGGGGAGCTACACCGAATGAAGAATGGTAAGAATGGATAAACTTGCTCATCTTGCATACTAGGTATGCCATTACCCGGCAGGTCTTGTGTGAGTCAATCAAAGCCTCGTGATTCTGAGAGATCATCAATTGCTTTGGAGAAAAGGACGGCTCGCTCCCAGCCCTGCAAGCTGCAGGTCCTTTGGCTTCTGGAATCCACGACCAGCTACTTGCAGTGTCTAGAGCGGCCCATATCCTGCAGAAGTTCACCATTTGACCGCCATGCCAGATCCGCAGTTAAAGAGGTTCAAAAAGTGCGCACGCAAGCACTGCCTCTGTGGAGGTGCGCCAACCGAAAGGGCGGCCATGTACAGCCCATTGGATCCAGGCTTCACCTCCACCTGAGATCAACAGAGTGCAACTCCGATCTTCAGCCAGGTTGCGGTATGTTGCGGTATGTTGCGGTATGTTGCAGTCATCTTATCTGCCGAGTGTCACATATTTTAACCACCGATGAGCATCGCCGAAGCATGCCGAAGCATTAACATGCATTAACCATATAGACCAGTGGTCTGACATCACACGGTCTAACCGTCATCGCCTTTGGCGAGATCTGGTTTGTCTTTGCACAGAACTGCGAAGCAGCCGAGCTATCAGCACATCTACAAGGATGTCCAACTCCAAGTTTGGTTCCATGTCAATCAAAGATTTGTAACTGCTGAACTCGTCGAAAAAACTCAATCTCTGGAGCTGTGCAGCAAAAAAACTGAAAGGGCTTGGGGCACAGTGGGGGACTCGCAGGTCATGCTGAGCGCAAAAAACGGTCGGTCTCAGAAGCTTCTTCTGCCCCCAATTCTTCAGGGTGATCCGGATGACCTTCGTGACCTTCGTGACCTTCTTCCTGCAGGTCTGCCTCCTGGACAGCAGCAAAAATGCTGGAGCTACAGGCTGTTTACTCTTTTTACTCGGTTTGAAGTGAAAGTCTCAGATGTTTTTGCGCATTTGAGAACCAGTGACAGGGACCTTGCCTGTACATTCTCCTCGGCATCTAGCTCTGGAGCGACGTTCTCAGGATCAAGGACTGCCTGGGAGCTGGCATCGCAAGAGGATTACAAGCAGCGGCATGAGGCGCACGTAATCCCTGCAATGGTCCTAACAAAGACATCTTATACATATCATTACATATCAAATGTGATGTGGTCGATGTGCTCATCCTGATGGAAAGGACACTTTGTGTGGTTTCACCAGCCTGCTTCGTCTTTATTTACATTCAGGTTGAATCTCCCTTCTAGCAAAGAACTGCAGTATCCAGTTGGCCTCTGCTTCTTCATCTACAGGTTCAAGTTTAATTTCTGTCTCTTCTGCATCCTTCATCATCGCAGACTTTTACTGTATTTTTTGAAAAGGTGCAATGCCAGGTCTTGCGGAATGATAACTTGAAGCCATTCACAACCCGCAGATGCAGTCCTCCTGATCTTGTCTGCTGTTCAACCCCACTTCATTGGGAGAATGGTTTGCAAGATCATCCACCAGGTCCTTCAGAAGCACTGACTCATGTTGACTCAAGCTGAGGTGCTTGAGGTACTACTTGACTTCATTCCGGGTGATGAGATCTTTTTAGGATTTTTGTTTTTCAGTCTGGGGCAGTTTTCCTTGCTATTTGCTACATTTTGGGGCTAAAATATCTGATTTGCATGCTATTTGCTGCATTTTGGAGCCAAAATCTCTGATTTGCTTGCTATTTGCTGCATTTTGGAGCTAAAATCTCTCTGATTTGCGTGCTATTTGCTGCGTTTTTGAACTAAAATCTCTCATTTTGCATGCTATTTGCAGCATTTCGGAGCTGAAGTCGCAAATTTGGGTAGCTAAAATCGTAAATTTGCACGATAATTGCAACATATTTAGTTCTCACTCATTTTCCAAAGGTTTTCAACGATGTCTGGATGGTTTTCATCGCTTTCTTGATCGTCTTCAATGATCTTTCCGTGGTTTCAACCATTCTTTAGGGTTTCTTCTAGGGTTCTTGAGGGCTTAGGGTTTCATTTAGGGTTTCTGTAGGGTTTCATTGAGGGTTTCTTTAGGGTGTCGTTTAGGGTTTCTTTAGGGTTTCTTTAGGGTTTCATTTAGGGCTTCTTTAGGGGGGTTTCTTTAGGGTGACGTTTTTGGCTTCGTTCGGATGCCATTTAGGGTTCATTTGGGGTTTCTTTAGAGTTTCATTTAGGGCTTCATTTAGGGTTTCTTGAGGGTTTCTTTAGCGTTCATTCAGGGCTTCTTTAGAGTTTCATTTAGGGTTTCTTTAGGGTGTCGTTTTTGGCTTCTTTGGGATGTCATTTAGGGTCTATTTAAGGTTTCAACATGAGTTTCTTTAGGGTTTAATTTAGGGTTTCTTTAGGTTTCATTTAGGCTTTCTTTCGGGTTTCTTTCAGGGTTTCTTTAGGGTGTCGTTTAGGGTTTCTTTAGGGTTTCTTTTAAGATTTCTTTAGGGCTTCATTTAGGGTTCCTTTAGGGTTTTATTGCGGTTTTCTTTTAGGGCTTCATTTAGGGTTCCTTTAGGGTTTTATTGCGGTTTTCTTTTAGGGTTTCTTTAGGGTTTCTTTGAGGGTTTCTTTAGGGGGTCGTTTAGGGTTTCTTTTAAGTTTCTTTAGGGTGTCGTTTAGGGTTTCTTTAGGTCTTTTTTATTGATGATTTCGTTATTTTCTTACAGCAGCATGCATACAAGCTCCTATACTCTATGTCTGTAGTTTTTGTGCAGTTTACATGAAATATATATAATATATATTCAATGTATCGCATGAAATGTTATATGCAAACTACAATACTAAAACCCAACAAACGCCAAGAGCCAAGTGAAGTGAACGGCCAAAACCAAAGCCAAGTGAAACCAAAACCAAAAGCCAAAGCCAAGAGCCAAAAGCCAAAAGCCAAAAGCCAAGTGGGCACGCAAATGGGAGATTCTAGCTCCAAAATGCATGCAAAACACAGATTTTAGCTCCAAAATGCAGCAAATAGCAAGGAAAGCTGCCCCAGCCTGAAAAACAAAAAAAAAGAAAAACCTCCCTTCATTCCCAGCGATGAATTCGCCAGAGTTTTTTGCCTGCGCAGTGTCCAAGGCATTCGGGTCTTCGATCAAGTTTGCATTCTCAACCATCTCCTCAGCCAGGCTGCACTTTCATCAAGGGGACCCCATAAATTAAAGCAAATTTAATAAGAAAACAATATCATTTACTGAAGCACAGTTGAGCAGCATTTAAGACCATTTTACACTCTTGCATACAATCACTGACCATGGCCAAATTGACAGAAATCACGTGAAATCGCCTTTGTTTGCTGAGCTCACTACCACTTCAATTTCGTCCTGAATATCCGTCTGAGTGATCCCCTGCTTCTCGGCCCCTCGGCTTTCAATCTTCAGACTTGCATTCTGACGTAATTCCGAATTTTCATTCAGTCTCCAGCCTTGGTCTTTTTTCTTCTTGCTCTGGACACCCTTCATCATGTCCAGAAACTCGGAGAAGCTGATTCTTTTGTCACCGTCCTCGCAAACATGGTGTACAGGTCCATTCTGCGATGTTGCTAAGTGCGCAAACTTCAGATTCATGGGTATCTTTTCCTTCTCAACTTATATCAAAAAAGTCCGTCGTCCTCAAGAGGTTTCAGTCAACGAAGGCACAAGAAGTCTTACAGGTTCAGCACATGCTGCTCAACTTCAGGCGATGGAGAAATGGCAAGCCTCGTCTGCTTCTTTGATGAGCTCTCGGCATTCATGAGCGCTGACAACCTGTTCACAAAAAAAAAAGTACTGGCTGATGCAGATTGGTTTAGAAGGAGAAAGAAAGATCAAAGGTAAGTAGAATGTAAAGATTCATGATTGGACCTCGGCTCAAACCCGGAACCGATCTTGCCCGCTTGACATTCTGGTCATGTGGACTGGTGCCCAAGGACATCGAATCTCACAATGGAGTCAAGGACAACTGCACCTCTTGTCCTCCCGGTTGACCATTGTTTAAAATGTTGTAGATATCAGTATTTCCAATCCTCAGAGGGACTCCTCTGCATTACACAGAGGACAACCGAATCATACCGAATCCGTTGGTGCACTGGTGGACATCTCTGAGGAGATGCTGTCTCTGGAATGTCCCAAGCTACAGACATTCCATCGCCATCCTGGTCGTAGATCCGAAAGACTGCCCAGCAGGTCTCTTCCCGCGCATACACCTACCAGAACCCGGTAGGAAGAGCCGAGAGGTCATTAAAAGATGCAGAAGAGCCCAGAAGAGTCAAGGCTTCACAAAGGTGGCCAACCTGCAAGTCCAAGATGGATGCGACAAACCTAGGCAGAGAATGTGACAATTCGCATGCCCCCTAATTGTCACAAGCACAATTCGATGGGTGAATCCTGTAGGAATCCTGGTTGAAAACTGGCATTGAACCGGTTCAAAACTACGATTGCCAGGACTCTCCTGAGGTCTTTGCTCACCAAGGCCAATTTCACCGCTGCCGTCAGCGTCCAGCCCATCGACCTTGGCAACTGCACAGTCATATTAGTGTATGTAATTGTGTATACATGCATACGTACATACGTACGTACAGACAGACAGACAGACAGACAGAAAGACGGACAAACATACATACATACATACATACATACATACATACATACATACATACATACATATGTGCATATCCATGAAGCCGCGGGATGCCATGCAATGAAACTTGAAGCCATTGGACCATTGGACTCGACTTGACCTTGCTGGGGCCACAACCAACTCATTAAGGTCTTCAGGAATCTCCACCTCCGTCCACCCAGCCCTCTTCATGCCTCAAAGCCGCGCCAGTCCAGTGAGTCCCCAACAAAATCCCTTTCAAAGACTTCAGCAACGCCCTTTCCTCACCTGCTTCAATCTCTTCTGCGTCAATATGTCCTTCTCCAGAGCTATCTAGCCTGTTGATTCAGACGCAAGGCAATAACACCAGCAACAACCCAGTGACAAAATGTGCGAGCTGAAGTCATTGACGTGGCAAAGGGCGACTTTCAATACGAAATAAAACTTGGTGTTGGGAGCCCTACCACATGAAGGTGTCGATCAAGGGCTTCGCAATTTCGGCTTCCAACCTCTACACAACTCGAGGATTGCTGGACGGGCTGAAGAAACAAGTCCTCAACCTGTGAGCTTGCAGGGAAACGCGCCAGAGATGCTGAGAAACGATGATCTGGAGAGTTGCCTGCTTAAATTTGTTGAACCTGCCAGAAGTCAATTCTTTGAAGGCATCAAGGCATCAAGGCATCTTGCCAGCAAGTCAGTGTGTCAGGAATTGAGTCGGTCAGCTCAGCAAAGCATCCCTACGGTTCCATGCACTGGCAGGGGCTATGTTGCTTCCCTTTCTGAATGAATCCATTCATGTCCATTGTCTTTTCTTCGGTATCCGGTTTGTACTCGAAGTCATGATGTGCATAATGCGGGGGAAACGAGCAGCACTTCCAAAGCACTTTTCTACTTTGCTTTAAGCAGGATGCCACCTCCTTGCATTCAATTATATATATATAATTGTACCTTTTGCATATCCTTTTGCGACATGTTTAAGCAGAAAATCGGTCTATCCACGTGAAAACAACATTCTGGATGACACCACCGTCTTTCACAGGCCAGATCTACCCAACATATTTGCGCATGTTCTCAAAGTACCTTGGACGGTGCTAGCAAGCTGTTCAAATTTTCCACTCGAATCCAGGTGAAAATCACTAAACGACTTAAACATAGTCTAATCAAAATGCTCAAAACGGGAGGCTCAAAAATGCACCATGCGAGAATCTTTGTTAGTCAATTGGATTGGATTGGAGGAGGACGTCAACCTGCTCCTCACCGAAGTGAAGTAGTTAAGACGCCGAAATTGCCAACGCAGAGCCGGAGCTCTTTGCACTGAACAAACCGGAGGGCAAGTTCAAGCCAAGAAAAGTACCACCCATGCAGCTGAAGAAGCAGCAAACGCTCATTCAAACGACCTGTTTTGACGTGGTTCGTGTTCAAGCAAAACTTGCCAGTAGGGAAGAGAACCCTTTAGTTGCGCCTTCCAAGCTTCTCCAGCCCAAACAACTGCCTCTCTGTGTTGTGACAAACAAGTAGCAATCACCTGCCGAAATTGACCTGTAAGATCAGCCGCGCTAGCATCCGCTTTGGCATTGAGCATGCGGCAACGCAAAACATCAAGCCACCCTTCGGGTGGGCGCCATCGAGGAACTTTATTATGCGAGGGAATCCAAGCACAAGAAGAGCCATCAACCAAAAGCATCCTGATATAATGCCAGTATGGAAAAAGATCTCCACCCCACTGACCAAGCCGCATGCCACGATGAAGACGTTGCACAAGAGCTTGGTTGTCAATCAGCAAGCGCACCGCTCTGTTCGCTTCATGGGAAGCCAAGCAGGCTTGAAGAAGTGCACCTCTCTCGCCCGCAGCAGGAGTTTGCTCGAAACCATGCACCAACCCATTGACCGTGGGCCCGAGATGTGCCGCCACAGCCCAGCTGGCACGCTGCCAAAGTTCGCACCCTGGAGCGATTGCGCAACTTCCATCCAAGCCCAAAGTCGGCGTTTGATGTGGGTCAAACTGTTGTAGAAAAGCCACCAGAATGGGGTCGGCCGTCATATCTTCAAATGGAAGAACAGCTGGAGCATCCACAAGAGGAACAAGCAACCGCCTTTCAGTTGGAGTTTTGAGATCACCATGCCAAGGATTTGCCTCGCAGTAGAAAGTGAAATGCTCACGATCAGGAGAGCTCAAACCACAATCAAACTGCAAGTCGACTTCCAAACGTTGAGTAACTCTCCCATCCACTGCTGCACCTGTCAAGACTCTGCGACCACAATAGTTCAAATCATGCGCCACATTGGCCTGGAATTGGAACACAGGCAACTTACCTTCAGGTAAAGGACCCTCCGTTTTGGTGTCCTTCGTCCACATAAAAGCCAGCCATGCTGCAGCAGCAGCTTTGTATAAGCTTGAAGAAGACATCCACCCTGGTTTCAAAGTCCCCACGGGAGTGATCCACAAACCACCCTCAACACGCCAATTCCAGTCTTTGCAAACAGTATTCCACCTTGGGCCTGGCGAAACAGCGGCGGGCACACCTATGGCCAAGCGGCACTGGCGCTGCCATTCAGCCCGGGCTGCAGCAAAGTGAAGCGCAAAAGCAGGATGCAAACGCGGTGTGCCCAAAGAGTTCCAGAACAGCAATCTACTGCGACCTGGGGCAGGCTTGCGCCCCCAGACCGCCGCTTCAATACTGGAGGTCCAACTCTTGATGGTATCAACATCATAGTGGTGAAAAGCTCCTGTCCATGCAAACAAAGAGATCACCAACTGTCCCAGCAAGGTCTTGCGGGTGCCCAAACGTTTCGCTGCCAACCTGATTTTGCGACACCTCTCCTGAATGTCAAAGGAAAGCTTCTCTGCATTAACACAAGCACCTGCACGCTCCAAATTGTACTGAATACCCAGAAGCGTGAACTTGCTGCAAGGAGCCCCCAACACGTCCTGTATCTGTGACAGCTGAGGCGTCAAATGTTGCTTGGTTGTGAAACTATTTAACTTGTCAGGATGGAGTTCCATGCCCAGAATTGCATCAACCTGCGCACCTGCCTGCATGGCGTTGGTGACCACGTGAATGCCGTTGACACCTTTCTTCCACATTGTGCGGTCATCCAAATAAACTGCAAGAGAAACACGAGGCTCTTGCAAAAGAACGAAGCGCACCCAGACTACCATCACCGCATTGAGTAAGGCTGGGCTTGCCGGGCAGCCCTGCAGCAGCCCCCGCCGAGCACAAATGGGCTCTGAATGGAAAATGCCTTGCCAGGCAAACCACCTGCGTTGGTCAGTGTAAAAATTTTCCACCATGTCACACAAACTGGCCGGAGCACCCAACCAGCGCCAAATAGCAAGTGCAGTCTTTGGACAAACTGAATCGAAACACCTACGGATATCGGCCTTGCAGCCAACAAAATCAACTCTTGAACGTTTGGCAGCACGAATGTCTTCGTAGAGCACTTCATGAACATCCATAATGCCTCTTCCTGGACGGCCGCCACAAAGCTGAGGCAAGGCCCATTCTTGTATCCATGGTCGGAGCTTTTGCAAAGTTGCACTCATGCAGATGCGCCACAGGACCGTCGTGATGGCAAGTGGGCGCAGGCCCCCGGCCGCCTTTGGAATCAAGGCTATGCGAATATCTTTCCACATTGTAGGAACTTTCGCACACTGCATGCACGCCGACCACAAGACTGCAACGTGATTCCAAAAGGACTCCGGCAACTTGCACAAATGAGCCGCAGTCCAAGCATCCATACCAGCCGCTTTTTGTTTAGCTTTCAACGCAGAACGCGCCAAATCAGCCCCAACCACTTGAATGCTTTCAGGCGTGACTGGGTCGACCTGATTGTTGAGCTGCAAACACAAATTTGAAACCTGGTCTAAATGTGGGAGGTGGTCCGGATTCCAATGCGTGTGCCACGCAGCTGCCTCCTGTCTTGCCTTATCTTCAGGCAAAATAGGACCATCGACCTGTGTTGCTGTAGGTGGATCAGGTGGTTTTTGCTGAACCCACTTCCCCAGTTTCGCAACATTTTCTTGAATGTCCTCTTTCCAAGCAGCAAGGCGTCGCTGAGACGCCTTTTTGGCCACCTCATCTGCAAGAAGCAAAGCGGCGGGAGCCAAACCACCATCAGATAAAGAAAACGCAGTAAGAGACGAGTGCAAAAGCGGAGCATCGCGCAACAGCTTGGTTTGCAATTGCGGCGAAGGAGCCTTTTGATATTCGACCACCCGCCGTGCAAATCTTCTCAGCTTTCGCTCCTCCAAAGTCTGCAACGTAGGAGCTTTGGTTGATGGGGGGCTCGCCATTTTGTGCGGGCCGTCCCTTGATGCCCTGCTGGGCTTGCCTTGTGCAAGCAGCAAAGATTCAGCACAGTTGCTCAGGACCACCCAAGCTTGATCCACATTTCCGACGGCCAGAGCATCGGTGAAATCTTGCTGTGATTCTGCCCAAGCAACATTCCAGTTCTCAACCTCCACATTGCAAAGCAAGAGTGGTGCGCTTGCCGGCAATCTCCAAGGCGTGGGTAAGCTACCATGCACATGTATATCGTAAATGACTGCATCATGGTCAGCAACACCTAAAGACTGCATTCTTCCGGAAACAACAACTCTGGGAGTTGAAAGCGCGTAGTCAATGACCACCCCTGTGTATTCACCATCTGAGTTGCGATGGGTGCCAGGGCCAATCTGGTCTCCGCAGACTTGTTCATCGCAAGAATACCATTGCCCCGACGCCAGCGCGGTGGAGGCCGGCCAAACATGCCTTTCCCTGTTGAAATCGCCCACAATGATTGCTTCTTCGCCCAGCATAGCAACGTATTCAAAAATGGCAGCCAAGGCGTGGCCAGCAGCTGTTTGATCGTTGGCATGTAGGTACACATTGATCAGAAGAAGCGGTCGCTGGTGAGGTCGAAAAAGCTTCAGCGCCATGGCACGGTCAGCCGGTGCAAACTGACTTGGAATGGCCAACGCTTCAGCAGGCCACTTTGACAAAACTAACGTCCCGCCAATCACCACATTCTTGGCATCTACCCCTTGGCCGCCAGGAAAAACTTGCCACTTTCGCTGGTTTGCAGCTGACTTGACAGCGCTCCAACTGTCGACATTGACTCTAGTTTCTTGCAAACAAAGAACATCGATCTGCTCAGTCTTTGCTAACTCAAAAACGCCACCCAACCGGCCACTCAATGACCGGACATTCATAGTTCCCAACCTTAAAGTGCTAGACGTACCCGTCATTGGTCCGTAGAATCACCTTCCTCTTGCTGAAACCCCAAAATCTCCAAAGCACGGAGCGCCGCTCTCTGCCTCGCCCCAGGTTCTTTGTTGGCGAGCTCCAGCAAGGCGTCTTTGTTGCCTTTTCTCTTTTGGTTCCAAACGGTGCTGTTGGCGCAAGACATTCCACGGAAATGTTTCTCGTCCTTCATGCACCGCTTGCATCTCGTGCAAGCAAAACGGACCGTGAAATCTACCGGCCAGACAAGTGCCTCAATATGGTGTTTGGGCGCAGTGTCTTTGGAGCTTCCCTTGCCTGAGTCAATAATGTTCAAAACTGTACGGGCACCATCCTTGAGAGCATCACTGATGGACGCTTTGTTGAGACAAGCGCGGAGCCTTGCCAGCATCTTCTTCCTCTTGGGGCCATTGCCGGCCACATACTTTTCACAGGACAGCGTAGCAAGCTCCTTTGCTTGATTCGCCATCTTGCCACATTTGCGACAAATAACCTTTGCCATACCTCCTCTTTTCTGTTTGGCCTTGCCAGTCATAGGGAGGGTAACCAACACTGGTTCGTGGGAACCGGCATCACCTTTTTTGAGGCCCAACAGGCGTTTTGCCATGCCAGCTGCGCGCACTTGAATCGTAGCTTTGGCTGCATTTGCCGCCCTGTAACTTCCATCGCTTTTGAAACGCTGCACATTCGCTTTCGGATGGTGTTCTTCTCTATGCCTCAGTTTCATGCGAAGCACCTGGTCTCTGCTGAGATCGGCATCTTCAGGAATGACCATGTTGCACAAGTGACACTTCCACTTGAAACTCATACCAGGGGCGGCGTGACAAAGCTGACCCATAGCGGGAGTGAGCTTCAACCTCTCCTTCTCATCAGGATGCCAAGCATTGATGTGGGCCTGCTTTTTCTGCGGCCACAGCCTGTGTACCCCTGTGGAATAATCGCACAAAGGACAATTCCATTCCTCCCTTTTTGGGCGTTTGGACGAAGTGCTGCCAGCCTCGTCCTTTTCGCTGACACCAGCGCTGCTCACAGCACGCCGCTCCCGACCTGAAGTAGCAGTCGCAGGGGAGGGATTCCTGCGCCGCTCTGAGCAAGTAGAACCAGGCAAGGAGGCGTCGCGCTTGGAACGCTTCTTGGCGCCCGCCACAGATGGCAGCGCTGACAAACGAGTAGCGCCAGCCGAGTGAGTGCCAGTTTCCGACCCGCCCCCTCTGTTGCCTTGCATAGGGCCAGTGGCGGCTTGCTCCAAAATGCCTGGCGGCAATGCGCCATCCAACAATTCATAATGCTTTCGGCGATACCACAGAGCAATGGCGCCACCTGCTTTCCCTTGGCTGTTGTAAACCTCAGGCACGCCCGTAGGCTGAAAAACTAATATGGGTCTGTCGTAGTGCACGGCAGCTGCAGCACATTCCAAGCTGCTGCCCCAAGCCCCAACCTTTGCAAGCATCTCCATGTACTTTTCCCATGACTCGCACTTCTCTTCCTGTTCCGTGGGCTCCCTTTCGTCCCACCAAGGTTTATACCGACCTTCATGCTTCTTTAAATGGTTCACAACTGCAGCTCTCACGGATCTTGCAGTTTTGCCTCCAATTCCCTGTGATATGGACTCAAACAAACAATTGCCATCAGCAGCTATGGTTCGTGCAATCAAGCCATGAGGTGGCTTGACATCCACTGCAACTCGCTTTGCCGCCGGCAGCTTGGCGGGCGAAGAAGGTTCGCGTTTGTCACCTGCAGCAGCCGAAGCAGCTTTCATAGCTTCATCAGCTTGAACATCACCAGGCTGCGTGGCGCCTGTAGCAGGCGCAGCTGCAGCGTTCTTTTCCATGAGCGGCGTGCCAATGTAGAAAGACTTTAGCGGTGGCTGTGAGGATTGCACAGTTGCAGGCCCAGTGTTGGAATGGAAATTGACCTTTCCGTAACTGGACAACTTCTTTGTAATGGGCCGCTGAGGTCTCTGCCTGGGCGCTTCAACGACAACAATGGTGTGTTCGCCGGCCTGGATCTCAAGGAAATCAAGATCTCTTTGAGCATTCGCATGTGCCCACCATTCAACTTGCTTGCCCAAAGTTTTGCGAGACAAAATCTTTGGATCTTGCAAGCCAGCACGTGTGATCGCTTCAGTGACCGTGCTGGCTGACCATTCTCGGGGCACACCACTAATGCGCCATGCTCTTGGCTTTGGAATCGGGTCAGATGCTCTGGGCTTTCGGACGCCTAAGCCGCCCCACCCTCTTGCAATGCCAAGATCACCTGCCAAACTTCGGACCTTTTGAAGATAGCTGGGGCCATCAAGGTCAGGACCTTTCTTGATCCATTCAACATCACATGACTCCACCACACTGTTGTTCCATTGGAGAGGTTCGACGAACCACAGACTTTTCCCAGAACAAGAAAGCAAGCCTTTCGCTGCATCTTTCTCAATCCTCAGCAACCCAGTAATGACCGGCTTGCCACCACCCTTCGTGCACTCCTCTTGGAAAGCCCACATGTCAAAAACTTTGGCACCAATGTGGGCGGGCACATGCCTTCGCAACCATGACTGAGCGCTAGCCTTTGGTTTGGCTTGGATGCTCTGCCACTCTTTGCTCAACAAATACTTTGCTTCAACGCTCAACCTCACAACCACCGTCTCAGTCTGAGCTGCAGGAGCAGCAGAAACAACGGCTGCTCTTTTGAGTGTTGGTCCGTTTCCTTTCAAGGCTATCAGGTAAGCCTGCCTTGGCTGAACTTTCCCAGCTATTTTGCCAGGTATGAGCCTCAACTGTCTGCCGTCGATCTGCTTCGCTTCTTTTGGAGCTAACAAAACTGCAGAGACATGCAATTCTCTTGTCTGATCTGTTGCATCACCTTCTGTCAAAACTTTGAGCTCACTCAGTTGCTCTTCCGATTCACACTGCACTGTTGCTGACACATTGCCAGGCTGATCCAACGCACTGCAAAAAGAATCAAAAGTCAAAACTTGGCCGGTCCAGTCCGACTGTCTCAAACACCAAACTGGTTTGAACGGTGCGTTCGTTCGAACTACTTCCACAAAAGACTTGGATGCTTGTGTGGGCTGTTTCTTGTTGGCATCCTGTTTGCGATTGGGAAGCTGCGCAGAAGTGCTAGTAGGATTGGTGATTGGGGCAGAATTGAGCGCTGCATTCCTGTGGCCAAGGCCCGCACCACCATTGTCACCTTCCTGTGTCTTGCGCTCTTTCTTTCTCTTTTTGGGCTTGTTCCCTCCTTTGTTTTTGGAGGTGTCAACAGCTCCAATTTCTTGGCCCATCAGAGTGCTAAGTTGCTGAAACAATTTTCCGCTGCCTCCCCCAATTCCCAACAATTGGCAGAGCTGGGTAAGCAGCTTGAGAATTTCTCCTACCTGTTGCAAATTGAAGCCATTAGCTTGCGCATTGCTTTGTTTCTGTTTCCGTCTTCGAGCTGTTGCTCGGCTGCCTGCTCCATTGCCATTAAGGATATGTTGCAAAGCATTTCTGGTTCTGGAAGACACAGCCCAAGTCTTCTGTGGCAAGTCAGTGCAAGCACAACAAGCACACACCACAACTGAACTGTTCGCTTCTGTGCACTGCCTAGGCCTGAAAGCAATGCATAGACCCGCAGCAACCGCGCGGAGGTCGTTCAGGTAGCCGCTCTTTGTTAGTCAAAACTTCTGAGGCACTGACTTCAGCTTCAACGGAGCCCTCAGAACTGGTGCCTTTGAACAATACCAGTGAACTCAAGATCTGCGACTCAGGGGTTTGACCATTTCCAGGTGAAATGTGTTGAAACTGCATGTGATTCTCATGCAGGGAGTTTTTGAGGACTGCGCAGTTTGGATGATCCATTGGTCAAATAAAGCCTGGCCGCGGGCTTTGGTCTGAGACTTCAATTGGGTCTGGAAACCAATCCTGCGCGAGACACGACCGCCGCCTGCTTGGCATTGACCCTCTCAATCTCACTCATTCGCAGGAGACCACGAATCAAATCCTGCAAAGCTGTATTCTGTTGAAAACAGAATGAGGGCATTGGCGCTCCAGCTCAGCATCCTCTTGCAGCTGCGAATTTGCTTGGCTAAAAATTGAATGAACTCCTCCCCCCTCACTGAAAGTCTGAAAGTCACCCAAGTGCCTTCGCCAGTTCACTGACATGTCTCCAGTCAGCATCATTGAAGCTGAAGTTTCCAGCGCGGACGCGCGACAGGATCTCCGCCTCATAAGAACACCGTGACAGTTCTTGTATGTTGTAGTAACAAACTGGCAGAAATAAGCAGAGGTCCAGTCCCAGTTCTACATCTTGAAACTGCTACACTTTGAAATTGTTAGCAAACGCACTCTTTGGTATTTGTTACACTTCAAGATCAAATTTGACAGCGTTCGTTTCCGAAACCCGGTTTGAAGCCCACGCACCATTGGGTATTGAGCTTCCAACATCAGAATCCCCAAAGAAAGGTGGATAGCCGCAGAGTAAAATGTACATGATTGTCTGGCACGCGAGTGTGCAGTCAAAACACGCCGCTCTTTCTCCAGGCAGTACATGAATCAAACATGCCAGACATACGCCACATGTCCACATATCTGTTGCCTTCCAGAGAAGAGTCTCACTATGGCCCATTGCAATCACGTGAGAAGGCACAGAAACGATCCTTTGAGCACGTTGCCTTTTTTGCCCAGCAAACATTCATTTGTGACGTATCCCAGCTAAATTGCTGACAAAGATTTCAAACGTGCAGCTTTCCTCCGGCTTTCCCGGTGTTCAGGATGCCAAATTTGCCAAATAAGTTTATTTCCTCCTAATTTCCTCCTAAATCACTTGTAGAAGTTGAAGCCTTGGACTTCTGCCTGGACACCTCGCATCCCGCAGAGTTGAAGGATCGTGGAGAAGATTGGGCCAATGCCATGTTGCAACCATAGACTCCATAGATATCAATCTGATCAATAAACATGAATAAACATCTACTTCATCACATCAATCAAACACTTCAAGCTGCTCCAAACCTGAACAAAACCATCTTCGTATCTTCAGAACGCAATCACAGTGCACAATGCTGAAGTAGCTGCGTGCGTCTTCAAAATAGAGATGTACATGTGTATTTAGCCTGGAACACCACATGTTCTACAAAACAGATTCCAATGATAACAACCTGCTTTCCGAGAAAACAAACCGTGTCAAGCCGTACAAGTCGAATGCAGAGATCTGGCACAGCGGCCTATCGCATATCGTCGTGGCTGCCAAGCTGTCAAGGTCACCTGGGAAGCTTGCCATCGTTCGCCATCGCCATACTGAAGTTGCAATTGCGACAGCAATGACAATCAGTACTGACACTACTGAATCATGTCTGGTCACCTGATGTCTGCAGTGAATCTTACCTTGGAATCCTTGAGCATTTGCAATGGAAGAAAAAGTTGAAAAACTGTTACATGCTGTAGAGTTCCCGGCAAATTTGGCGAAAGTAGGCTGAGAGAATTCAACCAGGAACAAAAACGATGGAGATGGTGCCAACATCCACTCCCTTCTTGTTGATTCATGCGTTTTCCTCATGACAGAAGTCAACGCCAATAGCCTTACAAACCTGACTAACCTCAAAGAAATGCACTAGGCTCAAGTCTAAAAACGTCCAAAAAGGCTTTACGGCTGTACGGTAGCTTTGCAGATCTCAAGAAGCCATGGACTCAATGGCTTCAAACATGTTCAAAACATGTTTAAACAGTCCGTCCCATGAGCTGACCCGTTGACCCGTTGACCCGTTGACCCGTTGACCCTGACCGCCTTGGATCCAGGCTCAACGTCACGGCCAGGTCCAATCCAAGTGCCCCTCAAAGGGGGAGAAAAAAAAAGGAAAAAAAGAAAAGAAACCAAAAACACCGTGGAAGTCTACATTGTTTCTTGTGCTTTGGAATTCTAAGATCTTTTTGCATTCTTCAGACTCTACATTTGTGGTCAGTCGAGCACAGGGCACAGCACTTTCAGGATGAATTTGCCAGTGTCCGCATTCCCCCAATCAGAAAGTACGGAAAGAAGGGAATTGGAATAATTGGAATTGTCAGGCTCCCCATGTTGAGTTGGATGTCAAACATCTTCCGAATTTGCAAGGAAGCATTGACAAATTGAGCTTATTTTGCAAAGGAGATGAAGCTGCAAAACAGGTTGGAGAACTCGCAATGTCTTCAATCGGAATGGCAATGGCAATGGCAATGGCAGGCAACATTGCTGCCTGTTGAATTGTTTGAAATTGCAATCTTCTGAGACGGGCCTATTGATCGCAGGCAGCGCAGCCTACCATGTCCAGACACATGGGACAGTTGGCCGTTCAAGCTTCGCGTTTTTTCTATATATTCTATATCATATAATGAGCTTGTACAGCCACACAGACAGAGCTTCATGAGTCTGGAAGAAGACTCCTAAAAGAGTTCACCGACACCGAACGTAGTGAGTTTTACGAGGACTCCTCTTTGCGCTGATAGTAAATAGGCACTTAATTCTACCTGCATCTGTGTGCACTTGCAGAATACTCACAAACTTGAATTGTATCCACAATTCTGCCAATCATAATGTAGAAATAAGGTGTGTATATTGCACTGTTTATGTATAGTCTTCCATGCCAATATGTGCAGCATTTCCCCATACCGCAACGTACCTGTGCAAACTAATGCATGTGTGGCGGCATTCCATGCAAGACTTGTCTTCAAAAAGATGTGCTGAGATGCATCGCAATACCACCAGCCTGAGTGGCATCCAGCTCATGAAAGGTAAGATCGCAGCGATGCACACAGCGCCAAGCCAAGCAATCTCCAGAACGAAGAGTCATTTCAAAGACCTGCAAAAGTACATAGCGTTCAGTAAGTGGATTCAGACAACCATGGCTCTGGCTGCTGTAGATATCTTGTTATATAACTGTATGGTTGTTTCAAACTTGTTGTTGCTCTACTGATTAGAGTAGCAAGAGCAAGGCATAGAAAAGTAATGAAGATACCAAGGTGGAGAAAAAAAAAGTATTGTGCCATATCGTGCCGAAAACATACAAAATACGAATTCTGCTCTGTCCAACAAAGCAGCGCTGTACTGAATCAACTGATAGGCCCGATAGGCAGCCTGAGTATCAAAGCGGTTCCGCCCCTCGAAATCGTGCGTCCCGTTTGGAGGTTTTGCACGTCCAGTTTCTCGTCGTGTCTGCACAATACCCAACTGCACAGAAATGATCTCGAAGGTACGAGACGTCGGAGACGTGGGGGACGGACTTGATGGATCGGATATCTCAGCGTCTATCTCGTCTCCCAAGGGCCGTGCCACAAAAAACTGCAAACCGTTGAAGGTCGCCGCAGTGTAAGGTGTCACCAAATAGATCCAGCTGAGGATACCATGCCAGACAGGAATCTGATCGAATCTTCTGAAGCACAATGATAGGTCAACAACCAAGCGGTCTGTCTGGGACTTATCCGCGTAGAGACCAGAAGCTGCCACAGCTTCCAGCTCGTCTGGAAATTCATACCCAGCCCAGCCCGTTGAATCAGCCTTCAAAAAGTGAGCCGAACGCAGCAAATGAAAGGTCATATCCTTGCAAGAGTGCAGAAATCAGCTGGGTTCCCTCAAATGTGAAACCCAATGACTAAGCCCGAGAATTCAACCACATCATCAACACCTCAAGGGCCTCAAGGACAATTTTGCCATCAGGCTAAGCATCAGCAAATCCACCTGCATTTGCATGGATAAAGCACACAGCTTTCTGGAACAGCACTGATTTCATCTCTCCTGTCTCCTTGTCCGTACCAAACTGCCGTGGGGAGATGGAGCGACGGGCCAAATTCACCACGAAACTTCCACCATAGTCCAAGGCCACCTGCACTAGGGGTACGACGACAAAACGAGACGTGTCTTGGTTCATTTTGTTTCAATACTTCAAGACGTTCTGTTGACTGCTTTTACCTGTGTGTAAAAGACATGTCAAAACATGTCAAGACATTGGTTCTTTGCAAAGCAGAATATACAAGAGACGAAACCCGCTAGACCCAAAATACCTTCATATGTTTGTAATGAATAATTGCTGCTCAGACCTGTTCCGGGTGCTCGATAAGATATTGATTCCACAGGTATTGGTGCGTCTTCCCGTTGTTCTGAAAAGCTTCTCCTCGAGAATTCACTTCAGGCAAACGACCTTGAAGGTGGAGTAGCTTCCTGCCAAGCGGATCACTCATTTTCTACATTTTCTCTTCCTCTTCTTGCTGCATCATCCAAGCTCGAAATAACAAAACGTGCACACAAGCCTCAAAGCAACTTCCAAATCTGCAGCTTTCCCACCATAGAAGCCACCATTCAGGTACTCTGCTGCCACCGGCTGCTTAGATGACATGACACAATGCTGAAGGTCATCTAAAACAGAAAGTCACCAAACACAAAGAGATCTTCGAAAGTCCAGCGAAGCACAGAGTGCTGAAGGTTTGATATCTGAAGGACCCTTACCCCCACCAGTAGCCACCAAATGAGAAGGGACTGAAAGAGCAAGTGACTTCATGTGATTAATTTAGCTGAAATGGTTCTGCGCATTCTGCGCATTCTGCGCATTCAATCAATCTGATGCTTGGACTTAGACATACTTAGACTATCCTTCCAGTGCAGCACCAAAGCATCGTTGAGCAAAGCGGCTGGAGATTCGTGGCCGCTGCTCGCAAGACCACCAACTTCGGACATTGCCAGGCATGGTTCATCATCACCCGTGTATTCCCTGACAGGTCAGCAATGGTCAGCATGTCAGCAAAAAAAAGCATCGCAAAGAGAGGCTATGGACAAGTTGCCATTGAATGCTTGCATGCTTAGCTAGGCAAGTTCACCTGGATTCATCTAGGCTGGTTGACATTTACTATGCAGAATTTATCCAAGCAAAAACGTCAGCAAACATCACTGCCTTGGCTCCCAGATCAATGGCACAAAATGCACATCGCGGCAAGTCTTCGTCGCCTGCGCTTTTGGAGTCAACCGGCTCTTCCCGTTAATCTTGGCTTTCCAGTTGTTCTTGGAATTCAAAAAGCGTCAAAGACCCCCACTGAGTTGAAAGATGTTGAAAGTATTTCCTGGTGGCTCCTTGGTCAAATAACGCCGAGCCGTGGCATGGCTTCCGGCTGCTGCCGGAGGGTAGCCAAATAAGCCAGCTGGATACAAGTCAAACCTCAGAAAGCAGAGCTTCCACGTTGGATGTACTGTCTAACAATGCTTTGCCAACTCAAAACATGTTCTTTACGCCAAATGCTTGGACTACTTCAAGATTTCATATCATGCTTCGGAGGACTCCACTCCGAAGAAGATTGGCCGTCGGAGCTCCTCTAAAGCCTGTCACATGTCGCCATGTCGCAGGAACAGCTTCATCGAGGATTGTCGCCGTGTCCCGTTCCGTTCTGTCCCATTCTGTCCCCCCATCTTTCCGCAGTGCCAGCCTTGTTCAAGTCCCGTTTGCAGCTTAGAAATGCAGAGTCAAAGGCATCAGCATAGATCACCAAGCGCTGGCCCATGCCAGATTTTCGAAGCCGCGTCACATAGGACCTTGGTTTGTTGAATTTGTGTTAGATTCGTTAGATCAAACAATTGCCATAACAATAGCCGCTCCCCAAAGATTCCAAAAAGATCCACTGCGAAACGACTTGTTGGGAGCTTGCGGAGCTATCAACCAGCAACTTCTCATGTGCAGATCTCAATCTGCCAAGAAAAGCACATTCTCGATAATCTCAATAGCCATCGATAGCCCCAAAGCAAAAGTTTCAGCAAGTTGCAGAAGGTAGCGTTCAGTATCGAACCATCTGTATCTCCATGGTCTTCCACTGGGCGGTGGTTGAAGCAGACGCAAGCGAAGCGGCCACTTTAACGAGGAAATGAGCGCGTGCGCGCGCTCAGGTTTGTCAGTGACAGCCACCACATCAAAGGGTCCTTGACCCATGTCCTGAAGAAAAGACTTGTACCAAAGAGCACTAAGACCCTAACTTGAGAGACACAAACGCTACAGAAAATTCCCCACAGCTCAACTGTGGCCGAGCGCCATTGCAGTGCGGTATGACATCACCATGGCAGTTTCTCCAAGGACAACAGCATCCAACCGAGTCACAAGCCCCTCTAAATCTTTACATACATACGCATGTACATGTCCATATACATATGCATATACATGTACATAAAAGGTACATATTTTAATGTATGCATACACATGTGTATATATACATATATATATATATTAATATACACACGTAGATTACATGCCATTTCATTCCATTGCATTACTTTACTTTATATCAAATATGTATGTAATATGATAAGTTAAGTGAGCTCCTCAAAAACCTCTTCATCCAAGGCTTTCAAAGGCAGCTCTTCTGGCTGAGGTCCAAAGAGCTTCACTACTCGCAGCTCCATATCTTTGGCCCAGCCACTTGTACTAGTTGGCAGTGCCTTGGGGAACAAGTCTGGGAATTTTATGCAAGACCCTGTCTTGCCATGTTCTGGAAACCTCATGCATTGTATGCATTTGTGGGAGTCCGCTTAGATGATCTCAGATGTAGCTGAAGGAACCAAATGGATCCCAATTTGGACTCTGAAGCACAAGGCAAGTGGGGCAAGTGACCTGACGACCGGAAAGGTCACGTCCCATGCCGAGCCAAAACAGCATCTGTAGCACTTGCCGTAGATTCTCATCCCGTCCGAGGCAAGCCAGCGGCACACAGCCTGCAAACCAGTCACCTCAGGCGTGATTCCAATACATTCAAGACATTGCAAGACATTTCAAGACGGTGTGCCAAGCCTTCAAACTGTAGCAAATGTAGCAACAGACGTGAGTGTTGATATCCACAAAGAGTTTGTTTGGAAAACCTCCACCTTTTCCTTCCGAAGCTGCAGCTTTTGCCCTTTCTGAAGCTGCAGCGCCTGCGTTGCGGTCCATCACAGTGGCAACGCGCTCCACTTCGCGCTGCTTTTCCATTTGTCTGTCTGTTTTGATGGAACCGCCTTTGGGACAAAATCGACTGCGACATTTCCGGCGTCTTTCCTCTTCGATGGACTTGGGAATTCGCATCGCTACTGCGATCAGATCTCCATGTCTCACACAGCGCTTTGCTGCTCTTTCTGCCGCGAGTCCGCTTGCAGAGGGAGACAAGGCCCTAGCGCTAAGCACCCCCAGTCTTTTGGCAAGTCCAGATGCCCAAATCTGTTGGTGGCTGCATGGAACTTCTTGCACCTTCGTCTCCGCCACATTTGAGCCAAGTGAACACCCAGGCTTTTTGCAGTGCTGCCCTCCTCAGCAAACACCAAACAAATACTTGGATCGCACAAATATTCGGTCAGAACAAAGGAGTGGTGCAAAAGGATTACGAATCACTGGCGAGCATCCCACCAAGAACGCCACGTGCAGCAGCAAAAAAGCTCTATGAGGACATGGCACCATTGGCCAGCCAGGAAAGTTCTCATCGCAATGTGACGGACTAAAGCATTTATCATTTGTTTGAAGCGCACTGTCTTATTTCACCCTGGATGTCAGTTTCAAACTCTCAAGTCTGGATCTAACAAAAAAATAGTTATGCTGTTCAGGTCGCATGAGTTACAACAGCCTTTAGTGACTGTAAACCACGCTCAAGCTGTGACATGGACGCGGGCCGGCGAAAGCTGTTGAACTGCCACATTCAACGCACTTCACCAGTACCGATTCACACTGACTCTTCTTGCTTTAATTCAATCTTCCACACGAACGCACCACCCACCTCGGTGTACTTCCCTGCAAGAATCTGGGGAGATACAAAATAGGGCCTTAGCTTAAACCGAACTAACCATCTTGCAATACTATCATTCCAGATCCCTTCGCAAATAGCCAACATTAAGCGGAGAATGCGCGGCCCTTCATCTACTGCCTCTCTTTGCCATGGTCATGCTCCAAACTTTTTCGTCCGCAAAAAGAAAAAAACACGGGATAGTGCGGACTGCAAGATGGAGAAGTAAATCAAAGAAGCAATCCCGTAAGATCCAAACGCACCCACCTTTGTCTTCATGTACTGCCAAAGCACCAAACACATTTTGGATATGATTGGTATAATGCTCTGGGGTGTCAGAGCCGTGATTTCAAAGATATCTGAGAATGCACCTCTTCTGACATCCAAATGATCCGGCCTGGCCCTCTTCAAAGGATCGTGCAAATCCAAAGTCAATGATCTGCACGGAGTGTGTCCATTACCGAGGCTAAATGCCCAAAGAGTTTCACATGCGTCCAAGTTATTTGCTACCCTAGTTGCCGCGTTTCCAGGACAAAGTGACAGCAAAAGATGCAAAGATCATGCATTTCCCGCCTTGATCATATTGGCCTCCACTGGGCCTTGGTTAACAACTGCAGTGTGTCGTAGGCAAGCATATGACAAGCATCAAGCATTATATACGGTTCTCCACTCATTGATGTATCGTCACTTAACCACATTTTGAATTCAGATGCACACAGTGCTGCAGTGCTGCACGTAAATGCAAACAAATCTGCCTTCACCTGCAAACATGAAATTCTCGATCTTCAAATCTCGATGGACCACCTGCCACAACCAGCAGACAGCCAGGGAGACAGCAAGGACTTGTCTTTGCAGAGCGTAGAAGGGAAAGCTGGCCTTCATTGTGTGAAGGTAATACACTCCGCCTGGGCAAAAAGCCGCACCCCTCAGCAATTTCTCAATGGGAATAGGGATTGCGAAGGCGAAATAACATTTTTGGCACTTCAAATCGCATGACTTTAAAGAGAACCCTCAACCTGGTCAGCCCATGAATACTGGTCGGTAGGTTGCCAACTCTGAAGTAAGCGATCTGCTGAAATTATGAATAATGCCACTGAGCAACGGAAGATCTGCTGCATAATGATGGCTGCCTGTGTAAACAAATAAGTAGACATAAGTTTCAAAACAAGAACAAGAACAACAACAAAAACAACAAAAACAACAAAAACAACAAAAACAACAACAACAACAACAACAACAACAACAACAACAGCAAACAGCAAACAGCAAACAGCAAACAGCAACAAACCACAACAAACGACGACGACTACAACAACAACAACAACAACAACAACAACAACAACAACAGCAACAGCAACAGCAACAGCGACAACGACAACGACAACGACAACGACAACGACAACGACAACGACAACGACAACAGCAACACCACCAACAACAACAACAACAACTACTACTACTACAACGACAACGACAACGACGACAACGACAACGACAAGGACAACGTAAACGACAACGACAACGACAACGACAATGACAACCGACGACGACGACGACGACAACGACGACCATCACCACCACCACCACAACAACAACAACAGCAACAGCAAAAACAAAAACAAAACCAAACAATATAATAATGTTAATAACAGTAATAATATACTACAAATACAAACTGCCCGCAACCGTGGGATGCGCAATGGTATTGGATAGGATAGGATGGGATAGGATAGGATAAGTCAGAAACCAAGATTACGCTTGCCGCAGGCTATTAGCTTCTTTTGTAGATGACCCCGGACGACGTCTGTGCGGGGCCATTGGCGGAGACTCATTTGATCCTATATATTCACCGCTTGTTTCAGAGAGTGGCTGATTTGCCCCCCCATACGTAGACGGAAGCAGGGGCGATGAGTTGGCGAACTAAAACCAATTTCCCACTTTTATAGGGGGCTCGCTGATTTACAATTTCATGATAGATGTTGAAAAGGGCTGGCAGTTCAACACTCGTATCACTTAGTGCAAGGGGCATTTTAAACCAATACAAATGAATATATATACTCATATATATATCACTTGTTATGCAGTAGCAAATATCATGTTGCCTTCTGGGCGAAGGTTTGGATCTGGGGGGTACTGGAAACATGATGTTTGGTGATATTTGCATATAATTTTTTATTTGCTACTTTGTAATAAGATGTAACATGTGGAAGTTGGAGGTAGTGAGACCTGCCTGATTTTCCGAGAAATTTCCTACTTCGAGGAGTCGGTCGAAGAGCTCCCCGCCCTGGCAAAATTCCATGACCTTAGGATGTGCAGCACAGTGCATTGGAGTTTTGCTGATGAAAATTCGTCCAACTGCTCCAGAGCCAGGCTTCCCATCCGAAAGTGTGGCATTGAATCAAAAAAGGACACGACACACTTCTGGAAATGGCAAGGAAGCAACATATTCGCTTCAAACAAGCGTTCACGGCTTCTATGCTGTGTGTGTGTGTGTGTGTCTGTACAGTCTGAGCAGAAAGGTGTTGCTGAGATTTGATAAGGGGCTAAAGTTTGCAGCTGCATTGAGCTCATGGCCATGTACATGTAGCGCCGGTCCTCTACAGAACAAAGCCATATGGGTCGTGCCGGTTCAAAGTAAGTTCCTCACCATGGCCTACTTTGGAGTCAGTTACTCCAATATATTCAGCTACAACTCTTTGGTCCCGCCTGCGCCTATTCTATGTGTATTGTATATTGTTCTCTGTATAATTAGTACAAATAGAGAGATAGATAGAGATAGATAAAGATAGATAGAGATAGATAGATAGAGATAGATAGGGATAGATATAGATAGAAAGATATAGAAAGATAGATATAGATAGATATAGATAGGTATAGATAGGTATAGATAGATATAGATAGATATAGATAGATATAGATAGATAAAGATAAATATAGATAAATATAGATAGATAGAGATGGATATAGATGGATGTAGATAGATATAGATAGATAGATAGATAGATTGATAGATTGATAGATTGATAGATTGATAGATTGATAGATTGATAGATTGATAGATTGATAGATTGATAGATTGATAGATTGATAGATTGATAGATTGATAGATTGATAGATAGGTTTGGAAATAGATAGGTATAGAGATAGATAGGTAGATAGATAGATAGGTAGATAGATAGATAGGTATAGAGATAGACAGGTATAGAGATAGATGGGTATAGAGATAGATAGGTATAGAGATAGATAGGTAGAGAGATAGATAGGTATAGAGATAGATAGGTATAGAGATAGATAGGTATAGAGAAAGATAGGTATAGAGATAGATAGGTATAGAGATAGATAGGTATAGGTATAGATAGGTATAGGTATAGATAGGTATAGGTATAGATAGGTATAGGTATAGATAGGTATAGATAGATATAGATAGATATAGATAGGTATAGATAGATATAGATAGGTATAGATAGGTATAGATAGGTATAGATAGGTATAGACATAGATAGACATAGATAGACATAGATTGATATAGATTGATATTGATATAGATAGACATAGATAGACATAGATTGAAAAAGATTGATATAGATAGATATAGATAGATATATGATGCAGCCTCCCAAGTCCCCCCCTCCCCCCCAATGGGTATGGGTATACAGGAGCTATGTCCCCCCCCCCCTGTGGCTGGGGGGGTGGTGGTGGTGGTAGTGGTAGTGGTGGTAGTAGTAGTAGTAGTAGCAGCAGCAGCAGTAGTAGTCGTGGTAGTAGTAGTAGTAGTGGTAGTAGTAGTAGTAGTAGTAGTCGTGGTAGCAGCAGCAGCAGCAGCAGTAGTAGTAGTAGTAGCAGCAGCAGCAGTAGTAGTCGTGGTAGTAGTAGTAGTAGTAGTAGTCGTGGTAGTAGTAGTAGTAGTAGTTAGTCGTAGTGAGTAGTGAGTAGTAGTTAGTAGTTAGTAGTAGTTAGTAGTAGGAATGGCTATGGATATACAGGAGCTATGTTCCCCGCCCCCCTTGTGGGTGGGTAGGGGGGTGGGGGGGTTAGTAGTAGTTAGCAGTATGTAGTAGTGAGTAGTAGTCAGAAGTAGGAATGGGTATGGATATACAGGAGCTATGTTCCCCGCCCCCCACTGTGGGTGGGTAGGGGGGTTGGGGGGGTTAGTAGTAGTTAGCAGTATGTAGTAGTGAGTAGTAGTTAGTAGTAGGAATGGGTATGGATATACAGGAGCTATGTTCCCCGCCCCCCCTGTAGGTGGGTAGGGGGTGGGGGGAGTTAGTAGAAGTTAGTAGTAGTTAGTAGTAGTTAGTAGTAGGGATGGGTATGGATATACAGGAGCTATGTTCCCCGCCGCCCCCCCTGTGGTGTGGTGGGGGTTGGTACTGCGTATATATATATGTAAATATGGATGTGTATGTATATATATATATATGCTTATATATGTATTATATATATATGTACATATATATATAATACATTGCATATATAAGCATATATATATAAACATGTGTAAATATATATATATATTTAAACACGGATATGAATATATATATATAACATGATTAACATGTAAATATATATATATATATATGTATATATATAGGAAGTAGATACACAGCACATGTGTATATAACTATAGGTAGCACGTAGGTACTTTGAGGGAGTATGTGTGCTACGTAGGTCGTCTAAAGGGTAGCATGTACCTAGTAAATGGGAGGCTGGTAGTCAGAATCGCTGCAAAAACCTAGCAAATACGAGGCTGGACCTCCGAAATGCTGCCAATAGCTTGCAAATAAATAGAAGGGAAGTGGGGGTGCTACCTGGGGACCCATCCCATTCGGCAGGGGGGGGGACCTCGCGGGCGGAAGACGGGATCATATATATATAGATATACGTAGATAGAGATAGATAGAGATAGATAGATAGAGATAGATAGAGATAGCTAGCGATAGATAGAGATAGAGATAGAGATGGAGATGGAGATAGAGATAGATATGGACAGATATGGACAGATATGGATATGGATAGATATGGATAGATATGGATAGATATGGATAGATATGGATAGATATGGATAGATATGGATAGATATGGATATGGATAGATATGGATATGGAGATGGAGATGGAGATGGAGATGGAGATAGATAGACAGACAGATAGACAGATAGATAGACAGATAGACAGATAGATACATACATATTTTGAAAGGATGGGCCAAACATTGCCAAACTGCAATCCATTCCCAGCACACCATCCTCGAAATGTTCGTAAAGTTTGACAATATGAGGATGATCAAGCCTTAGAAAAGCTGAGCCTAGCTGAGCCTCTTGCTAAATAGTGGACGCGTTTTGCCAAAGTAATCTGAGCAGTTGGCATCTTCAATGTGGAGAGTTCGTTCTTGAACCTCACTTTACACTCACCAAACTCTCACTGACAAATGGATGGTGCTTGCATTCCAGTTCCTTGATCAGATTTCTGCTGGTTCTGGTATGTTCTTTACATCCGCGGCCTCAGACTCTGGCATGATAAGCTGTGACTTTCGCCGAACCTTGCGGAGCATTTTCACAGCCCTTTCTGCACCAGTGGACTTGTTGGTGCACCTCAATCCAACCGCAAGAGACTCACCACGAAACTCAAAGTCCTGGGCTAGGACTTCATAATATTGCAATATGTCATAATATGTTACAATATTTTGTAATCTGTCATATTGCTGAACTAAATAGATAATACCATGCGAGCATTGTGAATTGACAACGTGCCACCCTAGCAAGACTCTACACAAACACTAAGAAGCCGCTTTGCAGTCTCTTAGTCATGGGCTTGCACACTCTTCCAAAAGAGCCCTCACCGATCTTTGTGTCTTCCACGTCATAGAATTCCTCAATCTCTCCCTTGTTGTCGATGATGTAAATAGCAAAGCCTGATTAGGCAAGAATTATACTACCTTGTCAACAATAAAGGCTAAACGCGGCTGAACATGTCAGGCAGACTGTGTGCTACAACAGGTTCCTCCAAGAGGTTGACATTGTCCTGGCAAATCATCATTTTTTTTGGATCACATTCGTCTGTGAAATGCCACATCAGACACGAAACACGGAGAAAACATTGCATTTTGATGCACTCGGTGGCACTGTGGTTTGCACTTATGTTCTTTCTACCTTCTTCTTACCAGCGGTCTTTCGTTCATAAAATCCCACGTCCACTCTTCTTTGGTTTAAAAATGTTCATCACTTCTTTCACAAGTACATGCAATGGCCTCACCTCTCTTTTGCTCTTCAGCCGTTGGCTCTCTTGCTGCCGTTTCCTGAAGAAACCGTTTCTGTCAGTGTCTCGGTGCATCAGCAACAGGCCGCACTGACTGTCTGAGATGCAGTTCGTGGCACTTGATACCATTCCGGAGTGTTGCCACCTCAGCAGTCGCCAAATACCTTTGAGATTTTTCAATGCACGAATCCAGCCAGTGCTTGTACACTCTGCCCAGACACATTGGTTTGGAACATTTAGCTCAGCCCTGCACACAGTTCCCCATGGCGCAACCATGGATGACTACCGCAGAAAACAAAATTGCGCTGCCATTACATTCGCCTTCCTTGGCAAAACCACATGCGCAAAAATTTACGAATGTGCTTTCAACAAAAATTATATTCTAAGAAACGAGGAACAGCAAGGAAATGACATGATGATGGCTTGTGATCGTTCAATCGTTTAAGATTCCAACTGCCTACTCAATGCCTCCGGAACCAACAGTTTGAAGTTAAGATTTCAAAAAATTAAAACTAAAACCATTATCCATGCCGACGTATCAGATCAATTACAGTAATGTCATCCACAAAGACAGTTGACCTTTTCCAAATTTTGGTGATCCAGCTTTGTTCAGCAAGTGAACAAGGAAAACAATCCATATCCATCCCATTATATTGGTTGGTAAATTGGTGTCCCTAATGCGGGTTACAATAACCCCAAAAAAATCATTCAGTATATCAGTATATATCATTTCCATTATATTATATTATATCATATCATATAATATTATATTATATTATGTTATCTTATATTATATTGGATTATATCATAATATATTACATTACATTATATTATATCATATCATATCATCTCATATTATATTATATTATATTATGATACCTTTATGTTAGATTATATCATATTATATTACATTACATTATATTATATTATGTTATGTTATGTTATATCATATCATATCATATTGTATTATATCATATTACATAATATCATATCATATAATATCATATTACATTATTATATTATATTTTTATCATATTATATTATATTTTATCATATTATATTGTATTATATTATATTACCTTATATTATCTTATATTATATTATATTATCTTATCTTATACTATACTATATCATATTGTATTATATTATATTATATGGTATAATATTATATGGTATAATATTATATAATTTTATTATATTATATTATATCATATTGTAACATATTATATTATATCATATGATATGATATGATATTATATGATATGATATTATATTATATTTAAATATTATATATTATATCATATTATATTAAATTTTATTATATTATATTGTATTATATTATATTATCTTATCTTATACTATACTATACTATACTGTATTATACTACACTATACTATACTGTATTATATTATACTATACTATACTATACTGTATTATATTCTACTATATTATATCATATTATATCATATTATATCATATCATATCATATTAAAATATATTATATTATATCATATGATATGATATGATATTATATTATATGATATCATATTATATTATGTTATACATTATATATTATATATTATATATTATATATTATATATTATATATTATATATTATATATTATATATTATATATTGTATATTGTATATTGTATATTGTATATTATATATTATATTATATATTATATATTATATATCATATATCATATATTATATATTATATATTATATATTATATATTATATATTATATATTATATATTATAAATGATAAATAATACATTATACATTATACATTATACATTATACATTATACATTATACATTATACATTATACATTATACATTATACATTTTACATTATATATTATATATTATATATTATATATTATATATTATATATTATATATTATATAATATATATATATAATCGTTCAGGTTTTGCTACGTTCAAAAATTTAAATTTGTGCACCAGAATTCAATACGAAAACTGATTTTTGCAGGCTAAGGCACCAGCGCAACGAACGGCAATACACGAACTCTGGAACCAAAAACATCGGCACAACATAGTATTTATACATTTGTTTGACAAGATTTGAACACGACAATTGTTCCATCGTTTTCGTCTTTGCATGATTTGGCTCTGTACACAAAAAAAATTGCCTGGACTGGCGCTGCACATCCACTTTCCAATGAGCTGGATGCCAGGAGAAGGCCGGTTGCCTGAGCCCCGTCAATAAAGAGGGAACACAAAAAAATGTTTTTAGCACAGGTTCAAAATGTCCAAGTGTTCTAAGTGCTGATCCAAAAAACGCACCGGCATCTGCATCATATATATTTCATCTAAACAAAATGTGTCAAATAATTGTCATTTGGGTTTAGAAGACTTGAAAACGCCAAAAAACCCTGGCACTTTCACTTGCCATCTGATTTGAAAATAATGTTATTTGGCCTTTTGGTTTGAAACCCATATTTCTGTGCGTTTGGAAACATGGTGTTTGAAAAGTACGGTGCCCAATGTCGTGCCCATGATCTGTCAATCAATTTGGAACCCTGCAGTGTTTGGTCTTGACATGGCATGGCAGTTCTTGAGCCTTTGACCAGCGCGTGACACAAACATGAAACGTACATCTGCCGCAACGCAATCTGCATTTTTGTTCTAAATTCTAAACATGGCAATTCCACAAAGTTCATCAATTACTTTGAAAAAAAAAATGAGGGCGCGTCGGTGAATGAAATGTTCGGTGTTTGCTTGCAACATTGTTTTCATGAACAGTTTAGAGTGCATTACTATCAGACATTGGATCCAAATTCACAATACTTGGGCAAACCATAACTCCGAATTTGAAGGGCAACAAACCCACGGCAAATTTGGAGTTACCAACCCACATAGCACACAAACTCTCTAAAATGCATAATTTACAGGAAAAAATCAACACACGAGACTGAAAAACAATGTTCAAGATTCCATGGACATGTATGCATATACATGTATAATCCCGATCGCCTACATGGAATATGCATTTTTGTCAACCCTTCGGGTGCCGTCGGCCAAAACAAAAAGTTAGAATGTTTGCAAATAATTGGGGTAATTTTTTTGGGGGTAAAATTTTGGAGCGCACAACCAGAGCCAAAGCACATACCATAGGAACAACGATTTTTCCATATCGAAAACAGGTGTGAAACCCAGCAGTTTGGACATTTGTTGAAGTTCTATCAATTGGAGAATTTGGAGAAGGCAAGAAAAATGGAGAGAAAAAAATATGATATATATATAAGCAGACACGCTCAAAAAAAACACTGTATTTCAATAATTTTTGGATCAGAATTCTGGAAAGAAATGGGTTTCCCAAATTAAACAGTTTTTGACTACACTGTACATTATCCCCCACGCAAGTTGCCAAATTTAAGGCAATCACTGACAAATGTGCCATGTTCATCCATGTTCTATGTATGGGTTTCTGCAGTTGATAACTGATGGCAACCCAAACAAACATCCAAGAAAAACGAAAAACAAGGGTACGAAGAGAAGAAAATATAAGCGGACACCCTCAAAAAAAAATACGTCAATAACTTTTGGATCAGAATTAGAGATGGAAATGGGTTTTCCAAATTGACAGGTTTTTGACCCCAATTTACAATAAAAGAAGGCAGTTTGAAGTTCACAAAAAGGCCCCCCCCCACAAGCTTCCAAATCAGGCAATGAAAAATAAAAGCAGCTGTCGCTCCTCCACAACTATTATTGGTGGTTCCCGGGCACTGAATTAACGTAAGTTAAAAATTTGGGAGGGAGCATCTTCCAGAATCAAAAATGAATTCTCTGCAGGTTTTAATTGTGTTTTCATATTTTAAGTAGTGTTTTTTCCGATTTCGGAAAATGTTTCTATTCGAAGTAACGTTTTTACCCCGGTTCCGGAAGATGTTTTTTGAGGTCGAAACTATCGATGTATCCCATCGGTATTTTTGTGTATTTTTATTTTTGTGCGATGTTCACCTGTTGCAGCTGCAGGCACAAACATTGTTTTATCCAATCGGGATGTCAACGGAGCATTCAGCCCTCTTGGCTGTGGGAGTGGCATGATCTCGAAGAGGAGCTGGTGGATGTAGGGGTGGATGGTGGGCGCAACGAATCACAAGCTAAAAAGGGACCCGCCCTCCCTCCTCTTGAGAAACAAGCCACAGGTTCACTTGAAGTTGCATGCATGGCACTTCACTTCCAAAATAATATTTAATCACATGTGACTGCCAGCCAATTATTTTTGTACGACGTTCACCTGTTGCAGCTGCAGGCACAAGCATTGTTTTATCCAATGGTTAATTTTTTCCTTGATGCAAAAAGCGTCTGAACATACACTTCTCGATTTGTGCGTGTTGCACATGCAAGACATCCAACTGCAACAACTATATATACGCTATTGGAGCTGGAACTACGCTGACGTAAGTGATTTTAACCCCGCCTCGACACTGCTACCTGCCAAGTGTCGCAAATCCTAAAAACTGCCAAAAATTGCAAGCAGGCGTGCAACTGGGGTCCACCGTTTGGGATGCCAGTGCAAACTTTATTTCTTTGAAATCAACCTGCTGCAATGACGTGAAACACTTTAATTTTTTCAAGGTAAATACCTAGCTACCGCATGGCCAACCGGGATCCACGTTATCCCCGGGCTCACGCCCCAAGCTGCAACAAAGCTCTCATGGCTGTGTTGCCACACATAGCTTTCACCAGGTATTCACCATAGTTGTATCTTCTATGTTTCTTCATTCTCGGTCTCGCTTGAAAGTTCATCTCCATGGTGAAGATAGTTCCAAAGATCTGGATCAGAAACATTGCTTCTCCTTGAGCTCATATAGCGTTCCATTGCTTCTGATCTCGTTTCTCCTTTGCCAGAACTCGAAGCTGGTGAATGCGGTGGGAATGTAGCATTCCTTCCAAGAGCATTTGCAACCATGTCCACATTTGTACTGAAACCTGTATGGACTGCAGATCCACTTTGAAGCGCGTTGATAAACGCAAGGGCTCGTTGCGCTTGTCCAAGGTTTGCTGGTGCATGGATCCGCTCGTAGTTGGGTGACTGCTCATCGTCACTGATATCTGCCATGCTTCCCAAAGTCCTCCTTGCTGAATCTCTGAAGATAGCATGGGGTGATCTAAGGGCACCTCTGAGTCCAAGAAGTATAGTCACCCGTTCTTCATAGAGTCGCCTTCTGTTGTGATCGGCGCTTTGGTCTCGGCGCCTGGAGCATCTTTCCAACAGCCATGCCACATAG